CTTACACTATTTCCTTTTCACAAGTCTTGGAGATAACTCTTACAAGCCTATCTTTCTTAGACCTCACTTCTCCCTTTAGACAAACTTCTAAATACTACGAAGAAGTGATCCTAAATCCTAAGAGAGTTTCCCAAATTTTCAACTATTCTTTCCCCCTTTTTTCAACTCAATTTTGTGCTCAATTTTTGTTGCTCCATGCACAAATAGCTGGGGTATTTATAGACCCCAAATGGCTTCAAAATTAGAGCAAAAAAATATCTCATCCTGGGTTTCTCGGGTCCTAATGGTACCATCGCCTATGCTAGGCAGTACAACTACTTGCAGCACTAACACTGTGCGGTACCATTGCTTGGGAGACTGTGTTTGGGTGGTATCACCACCTGACAGTCTCGGAGATTGAGTCTAGGTGGTACCACCGCCCAAACTAGTGGTACCACCGCCTGACACAGTCTCGGAGATTGTGCCACCGATGGTTCCATCTGTTGGGTCACTGTTTAGGCCTTCACTTAGCCCAACACAACCCAAACTTGGGCCCAATTGGCCCCTAATTGAGTTGGCCCAATTCTAACCTAATTACACCTAAAACCTACTTTGTTCTAGACAATTATTACAAAGCTTGAATCAAATGTTGTCTGGCATGTCATTGGTTCATTGACGCTTCATTCTTCAGCACATCGTCCTCTCTTACAATCTATTGCCCAATCAGCTAGTTGACCTCCGTAACTCTGATTTCCTTAGTGTAATTTCCGCTCTTCTTGGCCCGAAGCCTTTTGTCGATACGTTGACCAATCCTCCGGCTCGACATCCAATCTTCTGACATGTTCTACTTCGACCCAACATGATTCTTCCTGCTTTAATTGTCTCTCCTTGATCAAAGCTTCCTGCGTCACTCAAAATGTAGATCAGATCATAAATACTATCGATTGGTTTCATCATCAAAATTCGAGATTCAACACACCCCTGACAACTGGCAGTACTACAGCCCAATCTGTGCGGTACTACCGCCTAACACATGGGAGACTGTGTGTACTAACAATACTACTGCCTGACACTAGTGGTACCACTACTTGACACAGTTTGAGAGACTATGTCTGGGCAGTACCACTACCTGACATCGGTGATACCACCGTCAGGTCTTTCGGAAGAAGTGTATTTTGTACTTTTCCAGCTCATAGGTGGTTCCACCGTCGAGTCTGGCTATGCCATTGCTTCACCTAATCCTGGGTAACTGAATGAGCCTCCCAATGAGTCCAACTCAGCCCCAGCCCAATGGGCCCCTAATTGAGTTAGTAGAGTTATAGCCAAAATTAACTCAATTTATGACCTAACTACGACGATTAAGACTTAAATAATTATAAGACAAGAATCTAAGTTGTTTAACATGTTATTGGTTCATCCGAACTCCCGACGAACTTCTAGTGCATCATCCGAACCTCTGACGTATAGCCCGATCCATCGACATGTTGACTCCCGCAACGTCCGATCTTAGTGCAACATTTGATTCTTCCGGCCCGATGCCCGATCTCTGATTTCGGCCCAATGTCTGATTCTACTGCTTTAATTGTTTTGCTTTTTCATGATCGAAGTTAGTCCTGCATTACTTTTCTCAAAGCACATTAAATCATAATTTCATCAATTGATTTCATCATCAAAATTCGAGATTCAACAAGAATGTCATCACCTGTTTCAAAATTCTAAGAGTCATAATCATCGATAATAAAACTTAATTCAATAATGTGAAGTTCAAGTAGTTCTATTAGTCCTATGGAGTTGGAACTAAAGTTCAACTCGGTAGCTCATCCTCAAACCAATTATCTCGTTGAGATCTCCAACCGAGTCATTTTTGAAGAAATAAAGAAGTAGATCGTTAGAGAAAAAGGCACTAGAGTGGATGAGTTATTAAGTATCTTGTGAGCCTCTTAGATAACACCTAAGTTTGGGTAAGGAGAGTCACCATTTAGCTTAGCCTTCGGCACCGAGGCTATCCTACCACAAAAGATAGTCTTTCCAACACCTTGGATTGAAAGTTTTGATGAGAAAATCATCAAAGGACTTCGGGTTGGACTCGACCTCATTAGCAAGGTTAAAGTAGAAGCACACATAAGGGCACTGAGGTATAAAAATATTGTGACCAAGTTTTACAACTGAGGTGTTTGCCCCTGAGAAGTTGAACTAGGGTACTTAGTGCTTTAAAAAGCAGAAGTCAATGACCCAATTAGATTCCAAGATAAGTTAGCCTTAAACTGGAAAGGACCCTATTAGGTCATCGAGTCGCCTGAGATGGAACCTATTACCTTGAATCAATAAAAGGGGTGGTGCTTTCAAGGATATTACATATTGTAAACCTAAAGAAGTTCTACCCCCGAGGCGTCTCTTGGGATCGAGTTGGAGTGATCATGCCCTGCACGTCAAGCAATGGTCTATCATATCTTTGGTTTTAATTATTAAAAAAAAAGTGTTAAGGAACACCTTTGGGTCGGATCCGAAGATATGCTAATTAATGAAGGGACAACTTTGAAAGTGCAAGGATGCCCAATGTGTGGAGATTACCTTATAAAGTACAAAGAAAACCATTGTGGCAGGAGACATAAGATGAAATATACTTGAGACGCATGGGTTGAGAAAACTCAACCCATGTGTGAAACTCATCACGTTGGGAGTCACAAAATGAAATATGTTTGAGACACGTGAGTTAGGAAAGCCCAATCTATATGAGAAGAAACTCGTTATAGTGTGAGCTATAAATAAACAAGTGCATAAGATGCATGGGTTGAGAAAACCCAACCCCATGGAAAGAAACTCATCACAATGGGAGGCATAAATAAAAATATATCTATGGTGCATGGGTCAGGAAAATCTGACCCCACGAGAAGAAATACACCATAATGAGAGGCATAAATGAAAATGTGCTCGAGGTGTGTTGGTCGAGAAAACCCGACTCTACGAGAAGAAACCAACCATGACAGGAAGCAAAAGATGAAATGTGTCCAAGACGCGTGAGTTAGGAAAGCCCGACTTACGTAAGAAGAAACCTGCTATGGTGGGAGGCATAAATGAAAAAGTGTCATAGGTGCATGGGTTAGGAAAACTCGACCCCACTAGTAGAATCCCGCTATGGCGAGAGGCACAAATGAAAATATGTTTGAGGTGCATAGGTCAAGAAAATCCGACCCCACGAGAAAAAACCCGTCACTGTAGGAGGCACAAATAAAAATGTACCCGAAGTGCATGGGTCGAGAAAACCCAATCCCATAAGAAGAAACCTATCATGTGAGAAGTACAAATGAAAATATGCCAAAAGTGCGTAGACTGAAAAAACCTGACCATACGAGAAAAAACCAACCATGACACGAGGAACAAATAAAAATGTACCCAAGATGCATGGATCGAAAAAAATCTAACCGCACGAGAAGAAACCCGTTACAATAGGAGGCACAAATAAAAAGGTGCTTAGCATTCATGGGTTCAAGGAGGACCCCCTTAAAAATACACCTGAGGTGCTCGAGAAGAGGCCAGAGGGGGTCGGGTGCGATGCTGATCTCCACCTCTTCCAGAGGTGAGGAGGTCAGGCACGATGCTGACCCCCACTTCTTCTTGAGGTGAGGAGGTCTAGTGCGATGCCCACCCCTATGTTCCTTCCCAAGGTGATGAGGTCAGGCATGGCGTCGACCGCTATTTCTTCCTAAGGTGAGAAAATTGAGTATGACACCAACCTTTGTTTCTTCTTGAGGTGAGGAGGGCAGGCACCAATCTCCACCTCTTCCCGAGGTGAGGAGGTCTGGCGTAGCATTGACCTCTATTACTTCCTAACAATAGCAAGATCTACGAGCCATGGGAAGAGTCAAGGTTGACTCCTCTAGTGGCTAGCCGTGACGACAAGCGAAAGAAGGGATCCTCCCATAGCCCCTCTTGGTGATGAGTAGAGGAGCCTACCTCGACTCCTCCCATAGCTCGCCATGGTGATGAGCAAAAAGTGAGAAGGGGCATGTTAGTGACCTAAGATCCTTACAACATCCATGTTGTGGCCCTATGTAGGTCTCTCAGTTATCCCATAACGAACTTATCGTCTAATGTGGGTTCTTCGATGATGAGTAGACGAGATGCTCACTCACTCTTCTCGTAGCCACCTTGGTGACAGACGGTCGAGGAGCATTTCTTGGCTCCTATAACAAGTCAGTTGAGAATAAGCTTCATCTACTTGAAATTGGTTTCAGTCTTCTATATCAACACACAACAAGATTGAGCGACGATGAGATTCATAGCATTTTCACTATAAATCAACGATCAACCAATGACCCAATGAGGACTTCACAATATTCTCTTCTACAAATCGGGGGGTGATATGGGCAAAGATCAGGTTGAGGCGGTCACCTCAACAACAACAACCAGAGGAGCCCACCTCAACATCAACAACCAGAGGAGCCCACCTTTGACTCCTCTCATAGCCAGCCTTGACAAGTGAACGCACCACGACCTTCAAGCGCCTCCAGGTAGAAGAAGAGGCAGAGGTCGACGATGACCCACGTCCCACCTCCCACCTCCCGATATAGGTACCACAGTGCAGCTATAGCACGATGTACGCAATTTTTGGGCCATGCATCCTACTTTATTAAAGGGTAGCTGAGAAATAATTCCAATCGAAACCGTCCTTGCATTCGATGCTTAAAGAAGCCCACGACTCTCACAACCCATGTGGAAAGCAAATCAATACACACGCACATGCAAATTAGATCAGCTGGCAAGTGCTAAAAAACAATTCGGAAAGAATAAAATTCCAACTGCCGCTCGAATATTTATAGAATAAATGCTGCCAGGATAGAGAAATAAATTATGTCTTGAGTTAGATTCAGGGAAACATCAGGTATCCGTAACAATCAAATGAATCTGCTTTGTCTGCCATACTTAAGCCAAAATTGACAAGAAAAATAAGTAAAAAGGAAATTAGATAACTAAAGATGGATGAAACACTGGAATAAGTCAAGACTGAAAACCCACATCAATACTCCTGAACGATAAACATTTTGGTTCTTATCAAACTGAAGTAACCCTAAAAGAAAATTACAGATTCAATAACCAGTAAAAACCAAGCAAAACGCAGCCAAATGGTTGTTACCAGAATGATGCAAAAAAGATAGCAACAGTAAAGTTACATATTTCTACAGATGAGATAAAAACAAATCAGATATTTTACAGGAAGCTATGATTCAGAGACAAAAGAATGGACCTCTGCTAGCAGCTATGGAGGGCTTATTTCTCTTGTTGCCTTTGCAGCAGGGCATCATCAGAATTTTACTGGTGTGATAACATAATAATCATCAAGGAATTACTGAAGATCTGTTGACGGAAGATCCATGATTCCTACTGACTGGTAGGAGCACGTAAACCTCGTGGACCACCTGCTTACAAACTTCCCCTTTATCCCTGTCTATTGCATAACACACATAGATGGTATCGATGACATTGTCCAGCACATGAACGAAATACCCTAGAACCACAATGAGCAGAAGCCATGCGAAAGCAGCCACAAAGTACATCTCCATGCCAAGAGCACTGATACCCCTTAGAATAGCACAGACCTATTTCAATAAACAAAAAAAATAGTGATCAGAAAGGAAAACAGGCACATTTAACTCCAAACAAACTAATCTCATGGAGCATAGTTATCGAAGATATGGTCTTGGAACAACTTCCAAAAGTCATGCTAGTGAGCCAAATTCACCAAAAGTATTATAGTTCATGTGTAATCACTCTACGTTTGATCAGAGCACAAAGGATTCGTGCCAGACCATGCCAACCATTGGCATCTTGGGGTAAGTAAATGGGTAACGCTGTGAATTAATCAATGACAAGACAACCAGCCACCTCCAACAATATGGCACATGTTGCTAGTGATGGATCCTCACGGCTTCTCAATTCAGATTTAGTATAAGAAGACATGAGATCTTAGGTCCCTTCAAAAATAATTTTAGTATGATTGAAGCTATTCACACAGTTGCTTTCACATCTTTAGGCACTAATGAGAGTTTGAGGTGTCATTGTTCTTCTCAAATATCAAAGGATCATAATCTGTAGAATAATGCATGTCATGTTCTCCAAGTATCTTCCATGATGACAGTAACTCAAAAGATCTTGCATAATTTACCGAGTAAATGCATATAGCTCCTAAAAGGGGAGTAACCAGTCAAGCTTGAATTACCTTTCTGGCCGAACAAAAAAATGTAGAAGAGAAGCCCAAAATGAATACTGAAACTATAAATTATGAAAAAAAATTGTAAAACAAAAAACATGATCAGAATAAAAAGAAATTTTTGAATTTTCAAAAGGAAGACCTGAGTAAAGCATATGCTTTTGTCATAAGAATTAATAACACCTTAAGCAGGCAACTTTTAGCTGAAATGACTAATGGAGAAACAACAAGATAGACTAGAATCTCATGTGGGTCGAATCCAATAATATCAAATTTCCTTCTGGAACATGGCATGTGATACAGCAAGAGCCAGCACAATGAGACAAAGGCACCATAAAAGATGATAGTCTCCAATGAAGGATAAATGTTAAGATTGTTGATCTATTAGCAGTGGCATACGTTATTAGATCAGATAATGTAAATACCAAAGAAGACTCGTTTTATTGTCTCTGTATCAGTGGGATTTGCTGTAGTAATATAAAAGTATATTATAGATCAAAATTTTAAATTGCTGTAATTTGTATGCTGGAAACTTACACTGTATTGACCATTATTGGTTAGAATTCTCTTGATTATTAACTGTAGATCAGGATACACAAGGTAACCTGGTTAAAATTAGGCATAAGTCCCACCCATTTCTAGAAAACAAGTTAATTAGGCATCAAGCACATCATTAAAATATATTCTAATTTAGACAAAGATTGGGCTTGCAAAGTTATGGAACCCCTCTGAAGGGGGAAAAACAGACCCCCACAAGCAAACACACATACGACACATGGATGAAGAAAGTTGCCATATCATCACCAAACAATAGATATGATTATTCTCTGAAACAATGATGTAAGGAAGCAGCCCAGTGCACAAAGCTTCTGCCAATCACAGCCTTACCCCTGCAAGCAAGGAGGCTTTTTCTGCAAACAACTGATGGTGTTCATCCTAAATAAGAAAAACAAGACAAATGGTTGAGCCATTGTAATTATACTTTAATGCTTGCAAGCTAAGTCATGTAAACTCCATCTTGATGAGAATTATTAAGATATTAGTCCATGTAATGCAATATAATGGCATTCCAATGCTTGCAAACTAAGACATGTAGACTCCGTCTAGATTAGAATTATTGACATATATAGTCCATGTAATGCTTTCCAATAGCAGTATTGATGGCCAAGTGTGCAGGTGGAAACTTTTTAATGAGGCAATAATGCTCATGTTCAGACCGGGCTTCAAATCAAATTAATGAAATACGAAATCTAGGGACGATCATGGTGGTTTGGCTTGCATGAACCTCTTCCATGCTGTTGCCTTCTTTCAATTTTTATAATCTTATTGCTAGTTTTAGCATTTGCTGTATGAATTTAAAGCGACAGCAAGAACACTTGAAATCCCAAATTGCTAGAAATGATGCAAATTAATTTATCGATTTGTTTTGGTGTTTGCAAAGAGAAGTGCAAAATCATAAATCAATGGATTAGCAAGTCATGGTGGGCTTGTACTTACAGCTATAGCATAAAATGCTGAGAGGACGAAAATTATTCCAATCAGTATACGTGTGGAGACAGTCTCAACAAAAACAGCAGAGAGGAGATTCCTTCTTAGAAGCTCATATGTCATCGTAGCAGCTGAACAGTAGCCTTCACCAGTTATTGCAGCAAAAATTATGGTAAATTTGTTGACAAAGTCAATTGCTGCCAGCACGAAATTGGCACAGCACTTGAGAATTAGGTTTATGAAACCTCGAGCTCCTTCATCTTGCTTTCCACTATCTACAATAGCACGAACAACACGTACAACACCCACTGTCATTCCTGAAAAACAGACTGTGCCAAATGATGGACCGAAAGCATTCCTGCATACGTATGCAAAAAAGCATTCAGGAAGATTAAGACCTCATTCAGGAAGATGAAGACAAAGGGCAGCAAGATATTACCCAAATCGAAAAAGATAATGAACTTCTTACAACTAAAAGACATAGTAACTTCATGGCTAATAGCATTTCCATATTTCAGATAAAAGCATTCAGGTTAACCAAAAATACAAGAAGATTTTTAAAAGGCTAGAGTTGCTCCTAAGCATCTGAAACGAAATCACCATTACTACTACGGAATACAAATCGACTGATACTTGCAGTGGTTACTGAAAGCTTCCAGGTAGTCATCAAAAGATGGGCAACAGATAAATGATCAGAATATGAATCAGATCCAAAATATGGCTAATCAACAGCAAAAGATGAAGCAGATATTCGAACAGAATCGGACCTCAATGAACTCCTTATGCTTTTAGTAGGCCTCGATTCCTCCTTGTTGAAGTACCACTGTGCAACAGTGCCACTAATCACGTACACCTTCGCCTCCATCAACGTCGCGGCAGACCAAATCATTGTTATGATGGCGATAGCAAAATAAGCAGGCACCCAACTCTCCTGCTTCCACACGCACTTGTAATACTCCTTGCTTGTCCCCTCGACCTCCCTCGGCACCACCCTCCCGTTCCAGGTCGAGAACACCAGGAACACGATAATTGGCGAAAAGTAAGCAAGCAGCCCGATCCCCAGTAATGGAAGGACGGCAAGAAGCCCGATGTTGTTCGCGAGCGCCGTCGCTGCGACTCGCACGATCTGGATTGTGAGCTCGATGCGGTGCAAGTTGGCGACGATAATCCACAGGAAAATCCCGATGAGCAGGAAGACGAAAACGAGGACGATGATGCGGTAGGCGAGAGGGAAGGCGTGGCGGCAGTCATGGCCGACGGCGCATGCGACGAACCAGTAGACGTTGAGGAAGGAGGGTATGACGATGAAGAAGGGGATGGAAGCGTAGACCACCTGCTTGGCGTAATGTCGGAGGAGCCATAGGACAGCTAGGGCGATGGGGCCAGCGAGGAGAAGCGTGACGACGAGGGTCCAGATGAGATCCTTCAAGAAAGTGGAAGAAGAAGAGGAGGAGAAGGAATTGGAGGAGGGGAGAACGCAGGAGGAGGTGGAGCGGTCGTAAACGAAGGAGGATGCGTGGGAGGCAGCGGGGTTGCGGCGGGCGACGGCGGCGATGCCGAGGGCAAAGGTGGCGAGGGAGAGGAGGAGGAAGAGGAGGAGTGCCGGGAGGTCACGGATCGGCCGGCGGCCGTGGTGGTAGGATATCGGGGGATAGGAGTCCTCGTCGGGAGACGGAGGAGAAGAGGCAGAGGGGTCGACGAGATCGGCGGCGGGTGGGAGGAGGAGGGGCTGAGCCGCGGCGGCGAAGGGGTCTTGAGCCACGGAAGGCTGGGCTTCGTCACGGCTGCCCATCGGGCGGTTGGGCAGGGTGTGGGGGGGAGGGGGGCGCCGGGTGGAGGAGGGAGGTGTAGGCCGGGAAGTGGCGGAGCGAAGAGCGAAAGGTCAGGGTTACAGAGGAAAGGCGACGGTGGAGGGAAGCGAAATGACCAAAACGGGCACGCGTGGGGATAAATACGACGGGTATTTTTGTACATTCAAAAAGGAATTATATTCTTCTTTACTGGAAGTCGGTTGACTGCTACTGATGTTTGATGGGCGGAGGTTTGGATGCATTCGGTGGCGCTGAGGTGACGATAAGATGAGAGGGTTGTGTTCGGGGCTCCGAATGGGCAGGTGGAGGTTTGACGAAAGCGTTAGTGGACCCGCGTCGTTGTTTACCGACTAAACATTCGCAATTTACCCACCGACGCGTTACCCGTACCACCTACCTACCTTGCAATCGAGGCTACGGATGGGCCCACACCTACCTACGGACGGGCACATAGTCGCCAAGGATTGGATACTTTTGGGGACACACGCTGGGACGTGTTACCAACTCGAAAAGGATAAAATGGGAAGCGTAAATGGTGGAAGGCAACAAGGAATATAGAATGGTATCTTCGGGATCACATCGAGATAATTGAAGTCGTCAAATTCTTTCTGCCAATTTTTTTATTATTATTTATAACAATTGTTAGAATTTTTTAATTAATCCAAGTTAGATATCGATTTGGATTCAATTGATTTTCTTTCGAATTAAACTTAAGATAAACTCTTCTAAGGATATTTGAATCTTACAAAAATTATGTCAAGACATCAAATGTATTCAATGTTTTAAGACGTACATGTAAATCTTCCATTATAAATGAACGTTTAGAATCGTTGTGTCTGTACAACTCTTGTGATAATGGGGCATGGGATTCAACTGTAATTACAATTACTAAAGCTAGCTAGATTCATTCTGTAGAAAATATGTGTGATGTTGAGGTGGCAATGAGTGATCGATCGATTGGGCAATTTCATAGTGTCAACTACGTTATATTGACTAGTTAGTTTGCCACATGGAACTAATATATCCTTCATGTGGGATCGATGTGAAGTATGATGATCGGTTACATGGGATTGATGTGTCCTCCATATGAGATTGACGTGTTAATAACGTGGAGTTAGCTTATCAGACATACGACCCTATGTGTGTGACATTGACATCCCAACCACGTCATTTTCATTATAACAACAATCATACTAAAAGAAATAAATATCATGTTTAGTTTAAGATTAAGAACAATTAGGTTGACAATTATTGATTCAACCATCAAACTTTTTTTTTTTTGGTTGAAGACTAACTTAATCCGATAGTACAATATAAAATAACCCATCTTCTCTAATGTATTAGTTATTTAAATTACTAATTTTAAATATGAATAAGAACTACAGTGAACTTTGTCAACTTACTGCATACCATAAAAAAAAGATGAAGAGATAATACATAATTGTTACATGAATATATATCACCACCAAATCAAAAAGTCTTCTATCAAAACATGAATATTTTTTTATAATTATATATATTCTTAAAATCTTCTCCCAAAATGTTGTTATTCTTTTGATGTCATAAAAGTCTTTTAATGCTCTAAAAGGAACCTCCTGGTACAACAAAAGTATATTTTTCAAAAGCATCCTTATGCTCTAATTTTAATCGCTCGTTCATTCCGGTGAAGTTAATAAGCTCTTGCATCGTCTTTAGTCAAGGAAAGTTCGATTTGAGCGCTAAAGAAGGTCACAATCAAGTAAACTCATCCTCTTAAAGTCAACTTGCATAATAATTTAACTCGGTTCATCAACTCAATATTTTGTCGTAGATTTCTTGTAATATATATAAAGTGTGCACTAAGAACACAAGTTTTTCTACTCTTAATATTTAATTTCCTATGCCATGTGATCGTTTCTTTCCTGTCAACTATTCTAAATGTGTGCATCGGCATATGCTCCTCGTTTTGATCTCTGTCTATCATCGTCTAATTCATACAGTCGACTTGTACTACAGTACAAAATTACCTATTTTCTTGCATATGTTTGACTGCATATTCCCATCCATAATCCATCATAAACATCATAACAATTCTAAAGCTGAGAGAATGATTTATATTTATCGACTTTATCTTTGCCACACAGACACAGAAAAAATTGACAGCCTAGTCAACGCCACAGTAGCATCACAGTAGCATCCCATGTGTTTGCCACACAACATCTTACATTATGGGAAATCGACAGGTCTAGTACAGCTCTTCTTGGAGAGACTTCACCGGAAGTCCGTTCTCAACCCAGGCGGCAAAACCTCCTCCCATGTTCTTCACATTCTTGAAACCCTGCAGCAAAAGTCAACCAACAAATAACCCTAACTCGATAAGATTGTATGCCATAACACGCATCTGATAGGGGAAATGAATGAAAACAATAACTAGTTAGAACATGTGAAGTTGCATTCTGGGCTCAGCATATGTATTGTAGAAATGGTTTAACATGACTCTGCATAATTATAGTGCTCAAATTGAGGCTCTTGCCATCATCTGCAATGGAATTAAATTTCATGAATTATCACTACTGTTTATCTCTGGGCAACCTTCTTCAACTAGATATTGTAGTAGATTCTTTTGTCTGCAAGCTCTCTTCTTTGGTACACTTGCACCTTTTTCTTCTGCTGCTTTCATTATAATGAACAGTTCTGATATGATACCTCAACTAAACATAAACATAACCACATTTATTTATACTGGTCAATCAGGCTTATCCAACTTGCAGAATCAAGATGAGAGCTTCTTACGGATTTGAGAAGCTCCTCAGTTGCTGTGATAGATCGAGCTCCACTTTGACATCCCTTCCGGATACAAGAGGTTAACAATGAAAGAGATCAGCTTGCGAATTTGGCAAGGAGAAAGCAAACTAAAGAATCTGTAAGGAGGAATTACCACGAGTATGTGATCATCCTTGTTACAGGTCAACGACACTTGTTCCAAAAAGTCAGGGTTCTTCTTCTTCCCTGATCAAAGAGGATTGATATTAGTGTAAGACACAATCCTACGAGGCAAGAAGAGAGGAAACGGAGACCGAAGCTCGCCTTGTGGGGTGAAGAACACGTAAGGAACATTGATGGCGTTCTGCAGATGGCCCCGCTTGAACTCCTCTGGCGTCCTACGACGTCAACATGCAAACATACATCGGCAAATGCGCAAACAGCTGGCACGCATACGAATAAGGTCAGGCGTCGAACTAAGGGCAGAGGTCGTCGGGTGCACGCACCTGACGTCCAAGTACTTGTGGCCGGCGTCCACCAGGCCTCTGCCGGCGTGCACGTCGACGGTCACTGCTGCTTCCGAGCTGAAAGCAAAGAGAATGAACACAGAGAGAGAGAGAGAGAGAGAGAGAGAGAGAGGAGGGAGGGTACGTAGTCGTACC